ATTCCAGCTACTCAGGAGGCTGAGGCAGGAGAGGCAGGAGAATCACCTGAACCTGAAAGGCAAAGGTTGCAGTGAGCAGAGATCACACCACCGCACTCCAACCTGGGTGACAGAACATGACTCCATGTCAAAAAAAAAAGTTATAACAACAATTCAGGAACTCAGTTAATATCCCAATTTTAGTTTCCAAAAATGAAAAATACACTAATATACTTTGTACTTTTTTCAAAAGTATTTACTTTGTATATATTTGCTTAATAAAATTTGTTAATATAAGGAAATTATTTCAGAAAGTTTGAAGACAGAAAAAACATCACCTTTAATCCATGATCTTTTTTTTCTTATTTTTTCAAACAGGGTCTAGCTCTGTCACCCAGGCTGAAATGCAGTCGCACAATCACGGCTCGCAGCCTTGATCTTCCAAGTTCAAGCAACTCTCCCACCTAAGCCTCCTGAGTAGCTAGGACTACAGGCATTTTTATCCATCCAATGTGAAAGATGATTCTCACCATGCCTGGCTAACTTTAGTATTTTTTTTTTTGTAGAGACAGGGTTTTGCCATGTTGCCCAGGCTGGTCTTGAACTCCTAGGCTCAAGCCAATTGCCTGCCTCGGCCTCCCGAAGTGCTGGGACTACAGGTGTGAGCCACCTGGCCCATGATCTTATTGGTAGACATGGTTTACATAGTTACAGTAATAATGGCCATAACATTTTATATACAACTCTCCCTACGCTTGTAGCAGGTATTTTCCATACTCCATATGTATCACTTTATATGTATCGTATTTACATGTCTTTATATGTATCACTTTAAATATCTACTTAACATTCTAATGAGTGCATCGGTATATAATAATACGTCACTTAAAGAGTACATTCTGAGAAATGAGTCCTTAGAAAATTTCACCCTTGTATAAACATCATAGTGTACATACACAAACCTAGATGGTACAGGCCAGGGGTTCCCAACCCCTGAGCTGATGAACAGTTTGGGTCTGTGGCCTGTTAGGAACCGGTGGCACAGTAGGAGGTGAGTACAGGCAAGGGAGCATTACCACTTGAGCTCTGCCTCCTGTCAGATCAGCAGCCGCATTAGATTCTCATAGGAGCACAAACCCTGCCATGAACTGCGCATGCGAGGGCTCCAGGCTGCACGCTCCTTATGAGAATCTAACTAATGCCTGATGATCTGAGGGGGAACAGTTTCACCCTGAAACCATCCCCTACATAAATAGGATATATGGTATAACATATTTTTCTTAGGCTACAAGCCTGTATGGTGACTGTACTGAATGCTGTAGGTAACTGTAACACAATGCTAAGTATTTATATGTACCTAAACAGAAAAGGCACAGTAAAAATACAGTACTATCATCTTATGAGGCTGGGCGCAGTGGCTCACCCGTGTAATCTCAGCACTTTGGGAGGCCGAGGCAGGTGGATTACCTGAGGTCAGGAGTTCAAGACCAGCCTGGGCAACATGGTGAAACCCCGTCTCTACTAAAATTACAAAATTAAGCTGGGTATGGTGGCACACACCTGTATCCCAGATACTCACGAGGCTGAGGCATGAGAATCGCTTGAACACTGGAGGCTGAAGCTGCAGTGTGATGAGATCACAGCACTGCACTCCTGCATGGGTGACAGGGAGACCCCGTCTCAAAAAAATAAAAATCAATAATCTTATGGGACCAGCATCGTATAATGCAGGCCACTGTTAACCAAAATATTGTTATGGAGCACATGACTGTATGTGTATGTGTGTGTGTGTGTGTGTGTGTGTATGAAAAATACTAGAAGGATAAAAATAATAATTGTTATTTTTATTAGGGGATGAATAAAGTAGAGGAAGTAAGGTTAGAGAGAGTTCTCTCTGTACACATTTTCATACATTGTGACCTACCATGCTACTTTTTTAAACTAAAAATTGATTTAAAAACTTAAAATGTAAGTAAAGTACTTAATAATGCTAAATAATAGGTAGATTTAAATGAAAAGTCAGAAATCATTTGGCCCAACCTCTAATGCAATGTAGGAATCTCTTTAATGTTTATGTTTTCCTAGCATTTTAGAAAAAAGATGTAGCCAAACTATCAGTAAATAGGAGAGTGGTATGAGACAATTCAGAGAAGCTGCTTGTTATATCTCAACCATTCCTGAAAAAAAATCAGTGAATTAAAGCACAAAGGCTGATTAATTCCAGCAAATACATGCTGAGTCCCTGTTGTCTGCTGTATTCTGAGAATGTGAAAGATGGTTCTCAAAGAATAAGAGGAGTTCCTATGCTCAAGAAATTTGAGACAAGACCATTTGCTAAGCTTTAAGTATTCAGAAATGAAAAAGGTATCACTGGAATACAGGTATTAATATATACAGAGAAACCTTTGTGGGGGCAGGAAAAGAAGAGGGAAAATGATGACTGTGAAGGGACGGAGAAGAGGCTAAAAGGATAATCAATAAATGGTACACTGTGTTTTTGAGTTTTTTTTTTTTTTTCTTTTTTGACAGAGTCTCACACTGTCGTCCGGGCTGGAGTGAAGTGTTGCCATCTCGGCTCACTACAACCTCTGCCTCCCAGGTTCCAGCGATTCTCCTGCCTCAGCCTCCCGAGTAGCTGGGATTACAGGCGCCCACGACCACAGCCAGAAAATTTTTTGTATTTTTAGTAGAGACGAGGTTTCACTATGTTGGCCAGGCTGGTCTTGAACTCTTGACCCTGTGATCCACCCACCTTGGCCTCCCAAAGTACTGGAATTACAGGCATGAGCCACCGTGCCCAGCCGAGGTTTCTTTTAATATTACTACTTTGGAATACAAATTAAAGCTTTAACTATGTGAAAGACTGCATTATTCAACAATAACTGATAAACGTGGCCTGATTAAGATGTTTATACTAATACAGGCTATAAGTTTAAATATTCTTTAAATAATGTAAAGAGATTTTATTTATCTAGAATTTTATTTCATAGGTACATGTTAAAAGACAGACCTACTAGTCGGCTTATAAATGTAAATATATGTAAAAAAAGAGGCCGGGCGTGGTGGCTCACACCTGTAATCCCAGCACTTTGGGAGGCTGAGGCAGGTGGATCACCTGAGGTCAGGAGTTCAAGACCATCGCCAACATGTTGAAACCCCATCTCTACTAAAAAAACAAAAAATTAGCCAGGCGTGGTAGCAGACTCCTGTAATCCCAGCTACTTGGGAGGCTGAGGCAGGAGAATCACTTGAACCCAAGAGGCAGAGGTTGTAGTGAGCCGAGATCACGGCATTGCCCTCCAGCCTGGGCAACAAGAGTGAAACTCCATCTCAAAAAAAAAAAACAAGAAAGGAAAACCTTTCGGGGAAATCTGAAAGAACAGTTCCATCATACATACTGAATTACTAAAAGAGATGATATGCCCCAATTTTTCTATAATTAAAACATTGACTTGTGGACAAAACAGTCAAAATCTTGAGTTAAAAGATTATCCTGATTGTATGAAAGTTTAAAAGCCCATAAAGAAAACTAACTAGATTAACTTGTTAAAAAGCACTCAAGACTAACATGTTATTCTAATAAATAGCATGTGGTATATTATTTGAGGACATTTTGCATGTCCTCAAAAAGGCAATCTGTAACAGACAGCCACAAACTGTGCTAAAGCATTAAAGCCTTTTTCAAAGTATATTCCTAATGCAGAAATCTAGAACAAATGGGCTGCAAAAGAATATGTAAAATAAAAGGAATTCCACCAGTAACTATAGCGTGGTAATTATAAAACCTACTGCCAATAGAAAAACAATGCCAGGATGATCACTAACACTTATTTTTAAAATGTTAATCTGTCTTCACAACATGGTTATCACTCCTCAAAAATTCATATAATTGGGCCTTCTTTAAAAACCCTAAAGCCACTCTGTATCTTCCCAATAAGCCATCCAATGACCTTTAGATAACCTCTCAACCATCAGTCATAGTGTTACACTCCTTTACCTCAAGATCATATTCACCTCGTCCCTAAAACTAGACGTAAGAATCCTAATTCTCTTGGTATAAGTCTTTCACAATGTTTAAAAAAAAGAACTAAAAATATACGTAAAACCCTTATAAGCACTCCAACTAAGCAGACAGTATTACTCGCATTTGACAAATGTAAAAACAGAAATCTACTGCATAACAGCATAACCCTAGCAGTTGAGAGTAATAAATCTACACTCTGATTACTCAACTGGAATCAAAACTAATTCTTTTGGGTATCCTACATTTTAAGAAATGTATTAAAAAGGCAATAAAACCTTATCAAAAGCCAAAATATACTGCCTATTTCTAAATATCACACTATTCTGCAGTATTTTAAGGCAGAAGCCACAGAGATTGAAGCTTAAAAAAAAATGAGAATCCTTAAGAATGAAACTAGGGGCTGGGCATGGTGGCTCACCTCTGTAATCCCAGCACTTTGGAAGGCCAAAGATGGTGGATCACTTGAGGACAGGAGTTGGAGACCAGCCTGGCCAACATGGTGAAACCCTGTCTCTACTCAAAATACAAAAATTAGCTGGGCGAGGTGGCAGGCGCCTCTAATCCCAGCTACTCGGAAGGCTGAGTCAGGAGAATCACTTGAACTGGGAAGGTGGTGGTTGCAGTAAGCCCAGATCACGCCACTACACTCCAACCTGGGTGACAGAGCAACTCTATCTCAAAAAAAAAAAAAAAGAATGAAACTAAAGAATACTGGCCACAATTAAGACACAACAAGCAATATTGTACTACAGGTACTACAAACAAGTACTTTAATGGCTCAAAGTTTTTTTTCAACTTCTGAAACAATCTAAATGTTACAAAAGCTTCTTTCTAATGCTCTCAGACTAAGCTTGTTTTTTTCTTGTGGATCAGTAAAACACAAAGAGGAGTTGTTGGTAATGGGGTTCAAACCACAGAACATTCTAATGGAAAACAGACTACTACTGAGGAAAAATCAGACTACAGTTTAATTTCATAATATAAGATATTTACATACCAGCACAGAATATCCCTGGGACTTCACTCCTGATTATTATGGTCCGTACTTTCTTATCAGATTTCAAAGCATCCACAGCTTTTGATAGCTAAACAGAAATAGGAAGCATACGAGGGAAAAGAGAAAAATAAAATTTTACATTGATGACAATAATGTATCTTAATATTAGAAGCAAACAGTTTAATCTTTACACTCACCATTTTTATAAGATTTTTACTGAGTGCATTTTTGCCATAAGCTCTGTTTATTCCAAGCACCACAATTCCTAGTTAAAGGGGAAAAAAAGTACAAGCACTTGAGTGAGCGAGGCATTCAGAGAACGGATTCTACATCACACATCTAGCTAACTTCGAACTTAACAAATCAAAGAAATTCAGGACATCACATTCCCTTCAATTGATCTCTTCTTAAGCACCAAGGTAATCTGCAACATTTTGGTAAATTTTACATCACTAACTCAAACTAGAGGGAAGACCACACTTATCTGTGAAAATTTTAAGTTAAAGGATACTATTTAAAATGTGGTTTCATCATCTTCAAGTAGATACAGAAGTAACAGCTAATAAACCTTGTTACATGCAGGTATTACAGCATCTGCTTTTTCTAGGATGCCAGTTCTAAAATCTCAATTTTTTTTTTGTTCATACTACATAGTTTTCAGTAATTCTATGCCAGGTTTCTCTCCTGATTTCTGTCTGATACACTTAACCTGAGGGCACTTCCATTTAGATGTCCAACAAGTACTTTCAACTCAACCTATATAAAACAAACTTCATTATCTCTCCCACAAACCCAGCTGTCACTCCTAACTGCCCCATTTTTTAAATCAAAAACCATCATCTAAACCCAGCCTCCCATTCCTTCCAGTTACCAATTTTCTAAAAACAATACTAAGCATAGAATTCACCCCTACTTAAAATCCTTTCATTATTTATTTCAAAATATCCAACTTCAAAGATCTTAATTTGATATTCAAAGTTCTGCACAACCTCTACTAACCTTCTTGGTCCTGGAGTAGACAAGTTTTCACTGTGTATCAGAAATACCTTCCACTGAGTCAGGGTGGGTATGGTTCTTGTTTGCAACTGAGTTAAACTGAAGACAACAAAATGTACACATGCCTTCGCTGTGCAAGAAACTGTGCAGAATCATTTTTTAAAGTATAAAAATGAACTTCTGCTCACAAAAGAGTAAATTTGCAAAAATGCCAAATGCTCTCAGTACCGAGAAAAGCATAAAGGACTCTGCTATCTGACAGGATCTGTATTAAAAAGCTGAATGACTTTAGGTAGGTCCCAATACTACTGACAACAGCTACCACCGGTAGGCCTCAGGCACTGCTCCAGGTGCTTTAAACGAATTAACTCACGTAATCCCCAACACAACCCAAGAGGTGGGCACTATTTTTATCCTTAGTTAACAGATAAAGAAATGGAGACTTGGAGAGGTGAAGTAACTTCCTTCAGCTATTAAGTGCTAATCTAACTCTGTATTTGAATAAAACTGTGTTACACTGTTCAAGCTTCAGTTTCCTCAGGAAGAAAATCAAGCAGCTAAGACTAGATGTGTCCATTCATTCAAACATACTGAGGATGTACTATAGTGGATCAGCAGCCAAGGAACTAGAGTCTAGGAGGGAAATACAAACATTAATAATCATAGAAATCATTAATAACCATAAATGTCATTAATAACGAATTCAAACTGCTTTACAAGCTGTAAGTGGTGCCACAGTAACTTGTAACCAGAACTGATAATGGTCTAGGGCAAAAGGAGATGGTTAGGGAAAGCTTACCCCCGACAGTGGAGGTTAGAAGGATGAGTAGGAGTTAAGGTGAGAGGGAAGGAGAGGGGCTGACTGCCAGGCAGAGAAAACAGGAAAAGGATAAACTAGTCATGGTCCCACTGAATGTCCTGTCACCTACGAGGCGAAGAGAGTGACCAATGAAAGTAAACAGGTGAGCACAGGCCAGAAATATCCTTACAGACCTGCTGAAAAGTCTGTTCTTCATCCTAAGAACCACTGAAGGAGTTTACGTAGGTATAAACATACACACATGCACATATAAAACTGGAGGGGGAAGAGTTTCTACATTTGAAGATCATACCAGAAGTAGATAGGGGTGGGAGCTTCAAGACACAACTGGAGTCCAATCAACAGATAACAGGTCTGGCTGAGATAGGCAGTGGTAGAAATAAAGGAAAGTGAAAGGATTCAAGAACCATTCAAAATTTTAAATGGGTTAATGATGCCTAGACAGAGGCCTGATTTAACTGGGAGAAAGTGTTAAGGAGTATTTACCAGGTTTCTGGCTTCAGCAATTGGATGAAAGAAGATGACATTTAATGAGACAAAATCATAAAAAATACCAAGGTGAGGGTGGAGGGGAGTAAAGCTCATGAGTTCTGTTTTGAATCAAAGTGAATCTGAAGTGCCTTTCAGACATCCAAGTTGACACCACTTCCAAGGGCTAAGAATGCAGGCTCTAAGGTGTGATTGCTGGGGATGAAATCCCAGTCTGCCGCTTACTAGCTATTGCGCAAGTTACTTAACCTTTCTGATCCTCAGTTTCTTACTCTACGAAGATACTAATAGTTCCACACTCCATGGGACTGTATTAGAATCAAATGATATGACAGATGTAAAACTTACAACATGAGCACCCAATTATCCTCCCTTCTAGCATGAACACTTCTCATGCAATAAGTATTAAAGTTTCACCATAATTTCTGCTAGATAGGATACTGCTGACATTATTACTGAAGTGTAAAGTGTCATGAAAATGTTTCTATCACAGTCAATTCCAGCAGTTTTGGTCACATATTTGAGACTTGATGTTTTGAGTGCTTCCACTTCAAAAAGCTAGAAATCAGTTCTGCAATCTGAAATGAAGTATCTAATATATAACTGTACCATCAAATTTATCTGTAGGCTTTTGGTACTCTAAAATGGAATAAAACCTTAGCTTTTATTCAGCAAAGTCTAAACTTTTTTGTTTTATAACTGTCTCACTTTAATTCCCAACTCAATCACTTCTCAAAAACTCAATTATCATGTATCCTCCTCACATAACCTAGACAAGTTTACCAACTCAGAAAAGCTTAGGCATTCACATGCCAACCTTAATTTTCCTGACTTTTCACAAAACACACAAAAATCTTCAGTGAATCTGTAACAAGGTCACATCACAGCATTAATCCTGCTCTATAAAGCTCACACAACTGAAAGACGAATGTAACAACTTTGCTGAGACTTTAAAAAGAAACAGAAATACATTTTGCTTATACAAAATTGAAAAAACACACTCAAAGTGAAAGTCCTCCTTCCCTAGAATCAACTCATTCCCTTCCCCAGAGGAAGCCACAGTTATCACAGTTACATGTAATGTAACCTTCCAGAAAATGTTCAACATATTTACATACAGAAACAGAGTTGTATATTACCATTTGGCTTGTTGTTGCTATTTTACATAAATGGATCATATGTTCTGTTGGTGCTATTCTACATAAATAGGTTCATACATATTTCTTTCTTTTTTTTTTTTAAAGACACAAGGTCTTGTTGTGTCACCTAGACTGGAGTGCAGCGGCTCCATCATAGCTCACTGCAGCCTCAAAGTCCTGGGCTCAAGTAAACCTCCCGTCTCAGCCTCCTGAGTAACTGGGACTACAACAGGCAGGCGCTACCATGCCCAGCTGGTTTCACCAATTTTCTGAACTAAAGTTGAGTTAATTAACTAAAGTTCTCAATGAAACTCAACTAAAGGTCTCAATGGAGCTAGAGACCATTATTCTACATGAAGTAATACAGGAATGGAAAACCAAACATCATAAGTTCTCACTTAGAACTGGGAGCTAAGCTATGGGTACACCAAGGCAAAACAGTGCTGTAACAGACATTGGAGAGTCATAAGGGGGCAGGGTGGGAAGGTTGAGGGATTTAAAAAAACTACATATTGGGTACAATGTACACTACTCTAGTGATAGGTACACTAAAATCTGAGACTTGACTACCAGACAATTCACCCACTTGTAACCAAAAACCATCTGTACCCTAAAAGCTACTAAAATAAAATAAATAAGGGCATTACATAATAAAAACGGGGTCATTTCTCCAATAAGACATAATAATCCTAAATATGTAGCACCAAACAATAGTACATCAAATTATGTGAGTTAAAAACTGATAGTGCAAGGGGAAACAAACCTACTATTACAGTTGCAGATTTTAACTTACTTCTATCAGTAATTGAGAGATCCAACAGGCAGAAAATCAGTAAGAGTATAGTTGAATTGAGCACCACCATCAATCAACTAGATCTAACTGAACAGTAGAGCCAACTGCATATAAAATTCTTTATTTGCAAAAGGCACAATTTTGTACATAGAAAATAGTAAGAAATCCACTTAAAAAAAACTATTAGGAACAAACTAACAAGTTCAACAAAGTTGTATGATACAAGCCAATATACAAAAACCAATTTATTTTGTAATTTCTATACAATAGCAACGAGCAATCTGAAAATGAAATTAAGAAAAATCTATTTAAATTCAAAAAGAATATTTTGGGATAAATTTAACTAAAGTAGTGTAAAACCTATATACTATACAGTGAAAGCTACAAAACACCATTGAATAGAAAAATATATCACGATCATAGATTGGAAAACTTAACAACTTAACACTGTTAAGATGGCAATACTCCCCAAATTAATCTACCTATTCAACACAATCCCTATCAAAATCCCAACTTTTTTTGCAGAAATTCACGAGCTGATCCTAAAATTCACGTGGTAATGCAAGAGTTCCATAATAGCCAAAACACTCCTGAAAAAGAACAAAGTTGGAGAACTCATGCTATCCAATTTCAAATTTCACTACACAGCTATAGTAATCAGTTTGGTACTAGCATAAGGATAGATACATAGATCAATGGAATCGATTTGAATATCCAGAAGTAATCCCTTATACTTCCAGTAAATTAATTTTCAACAAGGGTACCAAGACAACTCAATGGTGAAAGACTCATCTTTCCACAAATGGTGCTGAGATAACTATATAGCCACAAGTAAAGGAATAAAGTTAGACCTCTTACTACACACCATATATAAAAATTAACTCAAAATTGGATCATAGTCACAGATGAATATAACAGTGAAAACCATAAAACTCACAGAAGAAAACATAAGTGTAAATCTTTGTAAACTTGGGTTAGGCAACAGTTTCTTAGATATAATCTAAGGCATAGCTACAAAAAGAACAAATAGAGAAACTGAACTACATCAAAATTAAAAACACTAGTTCTTCAAAATATACCATCAAGAAAGTGAAAAGACAACCCAGAGAATGGGAGAAAATATTTGCAAACTATCCATCTGACAAGAGACTTGTATCCAGTCTCAACAATAAAAAGACAACTCTCATGCCTCAACAATAAAAAGATAATCCAATTTAAAAAGTGGCAAAGGGGCCAGGTGCAGTGGCTCACACCTGTAATCCCAGCACTTTGGGAGGCCGAGGCGGGCAGATCACGAGGTCAAGAGATCAAGACCATCCTGGCCAACACAGTGAAACCCTTAGCTGGGCATGGTGGTGGGCGCCTGTAGTCCCAGCTACTTGGGAGGCTGAGGCAGGAGAATCCCTTGAACCCGGCAGGCGGAGTTAGCAGTGTGCCGAGATCGCACCACTGCACTCCAGTCTGGGAGACAGAGTGAGATTGTCTCAAAAAAAAATGTTACAAATAAAAAATAAAATAAAAAAGTGGCAAAGGATATGAGTAGACATTTATCCAAATCTATGCACATGGCCAATATGTACATGAAAAAATGTTCCAACAGGGAGTTGAACCTGATCTCAAGCTCTCCTACAACAGAGCCCCATCATGGTAGTCCTTTTGAATAGTATTCCTCAACATCTTTTAAAAAAGAAAAAAAAAAGATGTAGAACATCACTAGCCATGAGGGAAAACCAAATCAAACCACAAAAAGTTACCATTTCCCACCCATTCGGGTGGCTAATAAAAGAACAATAACACGTGTTGCCAAAATGTGGAGAAACTGGAGCTCTCATGCTTTGCTAGTGAGCATATAAAATGCAGACGCTTTAGAAAACAGTTTAGCAGTTCCACAAAATGTTAATCATTGAATTACCATAGGACCCAGCAATCCCATTCCTATGTGAAAATATAAAGATGACCACAAAAGCTTATATTAATATATGAATGTTCTAAGCAGCATGGTTCACATTATCCAAAAAACAGAAATAATCCAAATGTACATCAGTAACGAATAGACAAAATGCGGTATATCCATACAATGAATATTACTTGGCCATTAAAAGCATAGAGGTGCTAGTTCAAGCTACAACAAGGATGAGCCTTGAAAATATAATGATATGTGAAGGAAGCCACAAAAACATCACTTATTAAACTATTCTTTTATAGACAAATCTATTGATACAAAAAGTAGATAAATGAAGGTTTTTTTAAGGCTGGAGGGATAAGCTGGGGAGTAGGCAGTGACTGCTAAAGACTACAGGGTTTATTTTTGAGTTGATAAATGTTCTAAAATTGGCTTGTATTGACAAAGCATAACTGTGAATATACTAAAAACAACTGTACATTTTGAATTTTATGGTATATGATTTAAATCTCAATGTAGATGAGATTAAATCTTAATCTTAAAGATTTAAAAATACATACACTGTATCTCAATACATATATTTATTGAGATATAATTTACATACCATAAAATATATAAAAATATTATTTTTTAAACATGAAAAAAATATGAAAGGAATCAACTTGTTAAATAAGAAGAGGCAGTAGATACAGAAAGACCTGCTACCTCTGCTGCAGCCCACTTGACAAGCTTGGACAAGGATGCTGTGGGTAAAGAAGCACATGGAAAGGTTTCAAACATGGGAAGACCTGATGACAATCTAGATGTGAAAGAGGAGGAAGCAGCAGGTATCAAGGAGGATCTGCACTATGCAAGTGCTTGTTCACTCTATTTCTGCCAGAAGCTGTTCTGACACGGGTCACAAAGATGATCTTGAAATGGTTCATAATCAGGCCAAATTGCAGGAAGGTTGGTAGGGGAAGGGGAGGAGTCATTCCAGAAAGTGTGTGCAAAAGCTACACACAGAAAAGAACAGGAAAAGGCAGAGCTCAGGTCCAGTGGCAGAGAGACAGACTATGAGACAACTGACAGATAAGAAGGCCCTGCAGGCAACGGCAAGCCTTTGGAGGTGTTTAACTGAGCAGACTCGTGGTTTTTGGCCTTGAAAAAAAGGTAACTCCATCACCCCTGGGAAGAGAAAGTGGGAAGGAGAACGCTTGGAAACCAGGTGACCTGTGAAGAAGGCTGTTGCAGGAGAGACCTCTCTCTGTAAGCCATGACCAGGACCCCTGCTCTAAAACTGAGTAGGATGGACAACAATGCAAGAAATAACCACTAAAGAAATTTGGTGTTCAGGCGCAGTGGCTCACGCCTGTAATCCTAACACTTTGGGAGGCCAAGACGTGTGGATCACCTGAGGTCAGAAGTTCGACTAACCTGGCCAACATGGCAAAACCCCACCTCTACTAAAAATACAAAAAAATTAGCCAGATGTGGTGGCGGGCACCTGTAATCCCAGCTACTCGGGAGGCTGAGACAGGAGAATCGCTTGAACTTGGGAGGCAGAGGTTGCAGTGAGCTGAGATCCCACCATTGTACTCCAGCCTGGGCGACAAGAGTGAAGCTCCATCTCAAAAAAAAAAAAAAGAAAGAAAGAAAGAAAAGAAAAGGAAATTTGGTTGTAGAGCTATGCCTCCCACAACAAATTACAAATATGGAGCCCAGATAACAGATGAGACCTGGTGTATTCTGCACTACCTACCCCCACCCACCTAAACTGCTGCATGCTGTTTGGGGCTTCTGTGACTAGGAGAGTTATCCTATTCCTTAGAGGCTGCTGAGAGCACCAAATTTTGGACCCATCTCAAAGAGAAACAAAGGCACCCAGGAAACTCCTTCACCTGTAGTACCCTTGACCTGTTTTTCTTTGCACTGCTTATTGCTGGTTCAACAGTAAAGCAAAGCAAAGCATAAGTAATGTTAGCCAAGCCTGAGTCGTAATTCTTGCCAATTCTCAAAGGAGGCGGGGTCAACTTTAAGAAACCATGATGTATGTCCTATCTCATCAGGAAATGAAGGCTAAAGAAAAAAAAAGAAACCATGACGTCGTGTATTATCTTTTATCTGATATTCTCTCTTCTGTCCATTCAAATCCTAACTTAATGTCTTTCCAGACATTTTGCACAAATATTCCTTTAATTGCATTCAAGTCATAACGACCAAAATAACAGAATATGATGCATATTAGTAGCTGTACTTGCAATCCCTTTATATCTAACATATTGTTGGTACACTTAATGGAAGTGAAGTCCCAGCATGACTAAGCTTACCCAAAAGATGGTGGCATTCAGGCTCTAATCACTCCAGTGCCAGTCTACGCTTCCAGCTGAATTTCTTACTATTCTGCTTATGCCACACTACTGCCACACTTGCCTTATGTTACGTCCCAAATACACCACACATGTTCACATCTCCATGCCTTTGACCATGTTCTTGTCTCTGTCTGGAATAAGTAAGGAATAAAGTAATTCATCAAACTCCTGAAGCACTGCTATGGGCTAGTGGCAATTTATATTAACGATCTCATCTCACCTTCATAACAAACCTATAAAGTAGGTATTACACGTGAGATAAGTCTGCCCAAGAACCCTCACAAATGGCGAAATCCACTGCCTATTAAAGAATGCCTTGGAACCCCTTTCATATGGCGAAACCCTGCAGGTATTACAGCCCTTTCCTCTTACCATGCCTTGAAAGTTCACACAGCCTACTAATAACCAGGATCTGCTTCACTATACTAAAAGCAATCATGACTTACACGCTTTTCACTTCTGCTTAACAGATTATAGGTGCTCAACAAATGCATGTCAAAATTAAAAGACTAGTCCTCTGGCTTAACCCGGGTAAACTGCCATTCCACCCTTCACGACCCTTTTAGCTTTTCCCTGCACTGGCAGGGAAAGGAACTGAGCTTTAACAGTATTCCTTAGAAATGTCAGCCTCCTTCAAAGCCTTCAACCCTCTATATTGTATTGCTAATGATGTCTCCTCCTGCAGTAGGTAGGCAGCTCAAGGGCAAGATCCATACCATCCACATTCTTATCGCCAGAGCTGAGGAAAATAAAAAGTGCTCAAAATTGTTTAAATGAAGTGGAAGAGTCCCTCAGGACTAACTTTCCAGGAGAAAATGAACAAGAAAAATTGTTCCAGCTAAGCAGCTTCAAATTTAAGATTCTCCGTAATAAAAAAAGGCAGTTTCACTGCAGCTTTTACAACTCCACCACTAATAGCTGAGTTTACAGAAAGCCATTACACAGCAAGAATAAAGCCCGGTAGCAAGGATTAAATACCCAGGGTATATATTGACCTTGGCTTGTCTGAAGCGGAGGGCGTAAGCTGCACTTCTGTTTACCGCGCTGAATGCGGTCACTTTACAGGTAAGCTGCTCTGGAGTACACGTTTAGGTTATTAAAAGCAAGAAATAGGTGCACAAGGAAACTGCCACGCTGGGTGAGGGGGGGGGTGAGGAAGGGGAGGGACGGTGCGCCTGCCCGACCTCGACCCCGCGTCCTGCCGGCGGACTGCACCTTTTGCCCGTCCTGAGGGCGAGCGGCCGCCCGCTGCCCTGCGCCTGCCCCGCGTTCGCACCTCACCTCGGTTCTCCTCCTCCAGGTGCCGCACCCGCAGCTCGTCCTCCGTCTTCATCTCAGAGCTGTAGCCCCTTTTCGGGGCGGGACCACCGGCCGCAGGCACCCAGCCCTGAGCCCAGATCGCCGGGCCCACCCGCCGGCCTGCCAACGAGCCGGGCAGCCTCAACCCCGGGCACAGCCGCGCACTGCATGCGGCCACCAGGCGAGCACCGCCAGCATGCAGCGAGCCCAAGGCCCCAGGTGCCGCCGCCGCCACCGCGGCCGCCATGTTGTCTGTTTACGGCGTGGGCCTGCAACTGCCGCTCCGCCCCCGCCCGGCGCCGACCTGCAGCGCGCACGCGCACGGCGTCCCGGCCCGCAGCATCGCTCCGGCCTGGCCCCGCCCTCCGGAGCCGTGTTCCCGCCCCTCACCGCCCCGCCGAGGCCCCGTGACCCGAGGCCTTGCCCCATTTTCCGCGCAAAGTTGGATGGTTTGTCCAACACAGAAGGAAAGAAAGTAGTGTCCGAGGCTATGGAATAGTTCAGGGAAGCCTCTTCTCTAAGAACTATCCGGAGGGAATTGTCTCTCCGTACTCCCTGGACCATGCCCTGCGGTCCTGTAAGTAAGATGCAAAAGTGAACAAAAAAAGTTTTGTCTCCTCAAGTTGGCTGAAAGTGAGGCAGCCCGTCGTGGGACACTGCCTTACTTATGGATCTCAGGTTGTCAGTTCTAATTGGTGGGTTTAGAGCAAGCAGGCGCAAGATCCATGGAGTCACCCTGTCGCTGTGAGATGGTCACTGGAACCCATCTACACAGTCCATGTGGGTTATGGAGGTCAACGGGTGAGTCAAGCAGGCTGCATTTACCTGTCCCATAGGGAGATGGTCACCAGGAAGCAGTTGCATTAGGCAGATATCTGGATGGATCACATTGAAGAACTGGGAAGAAGCAGGGAACTAGAAACTGTGTCAAAGGTGATTGACCCCTGCTTCTCATATGAGAAAGTTAAACATTCAAAATGGATGCCAAGGCAAAATAAAATTATGAGAATTCACTATACTAGTGATGGCAGCGGCTGCTCCCGACAGCCTGCTGCTGCAGCGGGGAGGCACGGCCAGGGCTGCATGCTCTCTGGCAGGAGCCAGGGACAAGCAGGAGACCCACCCCTTCTGAGTTGGGGTGGGAGCTCCCTGGGTGCCTCTGAACACAGCTGCAGACCGGGGCCTCCTGCTCCACAGAGCAGGCAGGAGCACCACACACAGTGTGGCTGCAGATCTGAGCCTCCCTGTGCTATGGAGGGACCAGGAGCAGGCAAAAGCCCTGCCCTCCTGGGGGCAGCTGCAGCCACCCAAACCACCGCTGCAGCCCCAGGCATCCCTGCACTCTTGGGGGCCCAGGAAGGCCCTGCATGCCACCACAGGCTCAAAAGTGCCTGTTCCTGCTGCCTGGCTTCTCCCTGCTGTTGGCACCTGCTCCATTCTTGGAGCAAAGTTGAGGCTGAACCCAGGCACCATGAATGGCAGTGGGAGGCAGACAGACTCCTGGGCAGAGAGGGTGGGTCCCCAATGAGGCACCAACTTCTGACCAAGGAGGGCCTAAAGGCTGGGGGTCAGGCTATCAGCTCCATGAACCAGAGTGGGAACTTCTGGTGCCTTTTCCAAAGCTGCCCATGGCTGCCCCTGGACCAATCAGCAGCAGGCACTTGCTCCCTTCTGAGGCTCATAAAATCCCCAACTCAGCCAGAGCTGAGCAGGCGATGGGACGGCCAGCTGCAGAGAGGAGCTACCCTCTCAGCTGAGAGCTTCAGAGACTTGCAGAGATGTCAGAACTACCAGCTTCAGAGAGGAATGACCCTCTCCAGGGCCTCCTCTCTGCTAGGAGCTACCCTCTCCAGGGCCTCCTCTCTCCTAGGAGCTGGACAGACGTCAGGATGACCTGCCTACAGAGAGGAGCTATCCACTACAATCTCCTTTGAGCTGTTTTAACACGCAGTAAAACTCCTCTTTGTCTTGTTCACCCTCCACCTGGCTGCATACCTCATTCTTCCTGGACACAGGACAAGAACTCTGGCAAAGGCACCACCAGCCACAGAGGTTTCTGGCCAGGAAATTGACACCCCAAAGGTCCCGTGACACTAGGAAACTCAGAACTGTATTTACAGATCAACCATTGCAATTATTGCAATTATATAATTACTATTTATTAGTATTGATCTCCAGTTGTTTTGATATCTTTATGTTGGTTCATCAATAGATTGTAAATTTAAAGAAAGCTGTTATACAGAGCTCCTGACAGTGCTATTTAAAATAATATAGCTTCAGATAATACTAATAATTGACTAAGACAACTGCAGAAAGATAATCATAGATTGTTTGGGTTATAGAAGAAAACAAAGGACCACCCATTATTTCTAAGGGCATTGAGCCTGATGGAAAAAATGCAACATAGAGGACTATCCCCTTCCCTGATATTTGGGACTCTCGTCCTTATTTACAGTAGTCATGCAGATATCTCAGGTCTGTGACCAAGGTTGATTCTAAAAATTAATGCAACTAATGAACATCGCCATGACTATTACAACCTGCCAAGAATGACAACTAATAGCAAATTGCGAAATACCAGGAATTTAACAAATTCCAAATCAAATCGACATGGCTTTGGATCCCCGCTCTATAATTGCTCCACTTTGAGACATCAGTGAGTTATTTAAATACTTCATGCTTCCACTTCTTCATCTACAGTATAGCTAATATGTCTATTTCACCTTATGAATTCTTTCTTTTTTTCCTTTTCAGACAGAGTCTCACTCTGTCACCCAGGCTGGAGGGCAGTGGCGTGATCTCACCTTCCGGATTCAAGTGATTCTCCTGCCTCAGCCTCCCGAGTAGCTGGGACTATAGGCACACACCACCATGCCCAGCTAATTTTTGTTTTTGTTTTTGTTGGCTTTTTTTTTTTTTGTAGAAACAAGGTTTTGTCACGTTGGCCAGGTTTGTTTCAAACTCCTGACCTCAGGTGATCCACCTGCCTCAACCTCCCAAAGTGCTGAGATAATAGTCATGAGCCACCATGCTCAGCTGAATTCTTTATCTTCAGTTCCTTCACCTATAAAACGAGAATAATTATGCCCATTTATTGGGTTGATAAGTATGTAAAACCCTTGGCACCAAGAAAGAAATAGGAACAGCATACAAATATTAGCTACCATTTACCAACTTCCTTCTCAGTCTGTTTAAGAAAGCATTTCAATATCTTATTTAATGTTCAGGAAACTTTCACATTGGTATTACTATCCCCATTTTTATAGATGAGGAAACTGAGATTGAGTTACTCACCAAAGCCTGCATCTGGGAAGCCATGGAGCTGGAATTCAAATCCTGATACGTCTGACCCCAAAGCCCATGTTCTTTCTCTTTTTTAAAAATCTTTTAATTTTTTTTTCTTTACTAGAAACAAGGGTGTCACTGTGTTGCCCAGGCTGGTTATGAACTTGGGCTCAAGCTGTACTTCTGCCTCAGCCTCTCAAAGTGCTGGATTATGTGTGTGAGCCAGTGGGCCCAGCCGAAGTCCCTATTCTTAATCATTAGTTACAACAGCCTTTCAATAAATGTTAAGGCACGCAATAAAATGGCATGACCTCTGGAATTCCTTTCTACTTTTCAATGAAAGGTTGTCAAGTATGGAACAGGCATAATGAGTAACAGTTTGGGAAAAAGTGGGTAGGGCTTGTTGTTTGAAATGAAAAGAGTATAGCCAGGTGTGGTGGTGTGCACTGGGAGATTGAAGCAGGAGAATTGCTTGAGCCCAGGGTTCAAGGTCAATCTGGGCAACATAGCAAGACTCTGCCACTGGAAAAAAAAAAAAAAAAGAAATGGCAAGAGCGAAAGAGTGGAAAAGCTGGAGTATTCAGAGTACTACATTCACTAATCTCCTGACCTGCTTCTACTTCTTCTACATCCAGCAGAACTGTGAGGCAAACAAACCTCCTTTCTTTAGAAACTACCCAGTCTCAGGTATTCTTTTATAGCAACGCAAAATGGACTAAGAGAAGGACCAAATATTGCTTTCTTAGTATATCACGATATCATAAACCCCATGGTGGCCTTTCACTCCATAAGGTCTTTTCCCACCTAGTCTGAGTACTCATCTCCAAATGGAGGGATTGGATGTCAAATCCCGAAAATCCAATCTCTAGAGCCTTGAAGGGATCCAGTAAGCCTCACCCAAGGACACTACCCCCAGAGAAAAGGTACGTTTGAAGACACCCTCTCTCACTCTGCCCTGCAGACTCCTTGACCAGACACTGCAATCCGCCCCCACCAAGGTTATTGCAGGTCTCATTTTAGGTAGCAACCATGTGTGCCTGTGAGCTCCATGACCTTATACAGACAATATACAGACAAGTAAAGAGAGGCGTAAATTACTGAAAGTTACCTAGCTAATAAATTACAAAGCTGGAACTCAAACACTATACTCCAAAAAGCTGAGTTCTTAATCACAACTTTCTTTTGTGTGCTTTTCCTGATTGATTGTAAGGGCTTCATGTTCCCCACCACTACTCTGACCCCCATCAGTAGGGAGTTTTTTCAAGCTCTTCTGTTATCATTTCATTTGGAAATTTCACCCTTTACATTGGATCCTGCATGATCATGATTTCCCAGATACTGCTTCTTCCCCCTGACAATTCCATAGTTGCTGAGTGTGTATACGTGCATGCATGCAAATATACAAACACATGCACCATGCCCTGAAAATACAAACCTTCATCATCTCAGGATGAGAGGGATGGGGAGACTGGGGGATGAGATCAAAAAGGTACATGGCATCTTTTGGAAATGATAAGGATGTCCTAAGTTGATTGTATGATGGTTGCACGAACTCTGAGAATATGCTAACAATCATTTACTTGTACATGTTAAATGGGGGGATTGCTTGGTATGTGAATAATACTTCAATAAAGCTGCTGCAAAACTTGGGAGATGGGATTTGGGATCCTTGAAGAGATGATTGACTGAGTGTCTGAGACAGAGAAAAACACTAAGTGAGATCAGAATATCTCCTTGTGCCAGAAAACACTGAGATGCTGCACAATTGACAGAAATGTGAAAGGCTACAGCTCGGAAGGGTTTCTACTGGCCTAACCTGGGACAGTTAGAGCATTGAAGATACCCATGCTAGTAATTGATACAAACGTTTAGCATTTTTTAAAGATATCGGTGAACAATTAAGTAAATGGATGGCAGATGGTAGAAGCCAGTTTCTCCCTGTTGGTATGGCAGAACACAGATAAGCAAGGGAAGGAGGACAGGATGATCTGTGTGATAAGGGGTTAGCACTGGGAACATCAGTGTGAACCCATGTTTAGTTTAA